TATTGAGAAAAAATAGATTTTGCCTCAATCAAGAGCATTGAGTATTTGAGATGTGAGAAACTCGTTCATACAATACATATAATTACAAAAATAGTCGAAATTATAACAAAAATAAGAGAAAGAAAGCTTAGTTAAAATATATGAAATAAAACACGATACAACACAAATAAAAAATAAATAAATAAATAAGAGAAGAAAAAAAAAACATTCATGCTAATTTACAATATTTACAGTGAGCCGAGGAAGCTCCAAGTCGGGCCTTTTCCCCCACGTGTGGAAGATAAGGCAAGACTAAAAAGGAAAAAATAGTGTCCAAAACCAAATGATAAAGAGTTTTATGGAAGATATGGATTAAAACATCTCAGAAACTAAAAAATCGGACCTGCGTACTGAAAGTGAGGGAAATGTTTAGTATTTCATCTTCTTTATAATGAGCTATTATTTATAATTTATATTTCATAGTATTAATCTCGCCTTGCCTAAAGCACACACCATAGGTTTTTTATTCATATCACGTTTTTTATTTAATAAAAATGTAATCACCAATTTAAACTTTTTTTTTCAAATGCAAGTAGAATTTTTCTCTGATAAAACCATTTTAAGCAGCTAAATTTGTACACAGATTGCAATAATAGGGAATACTCTAATACTAATATTAACTTTTTAAAAAATAATTTATGTGTTGGGTTTCATTTTGTTTTTTTTATTTTAAATGCTAATAATTAGTTATTAGCCTAAATCAATATTAATATACTTTGTAATTAATGCTGCCATTAAATGCACTTTCAAGGAAAGAACACCAACTTCCGCAGCAGAAAATGTTTTTCTAAAGAAGTAAAATTTAGCAGAAATGTGGTATTAAATTTCAGAAATAACAATAATCGGGTAAATGAAAATTCTCATACCACAAGGCAGGGAATCATAATACCCAAAAAGAGGAAATCGATACCAATTTAAGCCAATAGCTTGTCAATATTTGGAGAAATCTGAAAAAAAATGAAACACGCCAATTTTTAGAATTTTCATGGAATCCTAAGTGTTAGATTTATAGTCAGGGAGCCCGTGACAAAAAAGGTGTCATATTTCATTCTAAGCTTTGTCCTTTACAAATTAATCATATCCATAGGCCTGATGAGAAAAATGAAACGTCTGCCAGCATATAGCCGCTGGGAATACAAAATGGCAGCTATGTGAAGATAAATACATAGGTTGTAAACGTATAGTTCCAGTTCCATACTTATTTTTGGAAATCTTTCTGAAAATACTCTTTTAACGTGTACAAACCACCTTAATCTTTTTTCTTCAATATCTTCATGAATGTTCTTTTTCACCTCCACCAGTTCCCGAATTATTGTATTTTTAATTATTTCCCTTCTCTATTTCCTATCTGCTCTTCTCCAAAAATCCATTTTCACCGCTAGAAATCTTTTACGGTGTCTGTCATCAATGGCCCATGTTTCTGAGGCATATGTTGTTATAGATTTGTAATTACCTGAATTAAATAATTAGCTAATACAATTATTCAACACATACTATGCATATAATTATTATATTATACTATACAATACATACTATTATTCAACACAAGTTTAAGTTTAAAAAATACAAAACATAAATTTACTGCTGTTCTGTGGAGCTTTGTCCATAAGATTTTGGTTTAGCTCTTAAGGTCTACTGCCACTTTTTTAAGTTGGACTATGTATATTCAATGGAAATTTTGCCAAAAAATGGATGGACTTTGAAAGTTTTTGCAAACTATTTTTTGTCGATTAAAGTAAAACAAAGGAATTTTAATTAATATTGACGTACATCAAATATTGCAAAAACTAATATCTGTCTCCTTTTCTCCCTGTTTGTGGACTGTCGCTGAAACAAGGAAACTGATCAGGGAAGAAAATGGTCTGTCTTGTTAAAAGTTTTACTTGCTACGTGACGGAGACTAAGCAAACATTAACTTACAAACCTGAGCTTAATGGCCAGATCCATCAGAAACTTAAATGATACGTTTACTATTACAAGGTGGTTTCAAGGTTGTTGTTTTGTTTTTTCAGTTGAGATCTTTTTGAAATGAAATGAAATGAAAAATAATTCTATTCTGGGACTGAAGTCCCCTTAGAATAATAGTAGAGTTTAAAAAATATATACATTAGTCTGGTATGCAAGTATCATACAAATATATACAAAAAATACCTAGGAAATTGTGAACAATATATATATATATATATATATATATATATATATATATATATATATACACACACACACAAAGATACTAAGGAAAATACAAATATATAAAAAAAAAATACAAATGAAAATATAAACATCTACAAAATTTACTAACGATAAACACAAATATATATATACAATAAATACTGAGATATAAAAAAATTAATAAATAAAAATAAAATGACTTCTATCAATTAACTGCTGGTGACCAACGTAATTAGATAATCCATAAATTTTTACAAGCTTGCTGAAGTTTGAATTTGTAGTAGGTGGTGGAATAGGAGTTGTTTGAAGGAGTTTATGGACGTGGTTTGACGTATGGAGATGGATAATGAGTTCCACAAGGAGGTAGCACGAATGATGAAGAATTTACTGAAGGAAATGGTTTTATGAGAGGGTACATATAAATCTATAGCTCTTGTATTGCGATTGGTCACACAAATATAATAACCGAAGCAAATTAATGCATCGCCTAAAATAAATGTTTTACTTTCAACTACCTATATATGAAATACACTATGTATGCAATAGAGAAACGTGAAAATTTTCTAATTCGAGTCTTCAATAGAAATACGTGTGTCAAGGTCCCTTGAGTCTAAATAATCATGTCACACAAAAACATTTTTGGGTATGTAAACAGCACACATGAAAAAAACAAAAAAACTTACTAAAATTATAGTACATATTTAAGATAGTGGATTGGTGGTTGAGTTGAATTGAAGAGGAGTTGGTTAGGGTGTTCAGTCAAAAATACAAAGTAAAAATAAATAAATGATATTTATTTTTATTATACCGACATTCCGGCTAAAGTTCAGGCCTTCATCAGGACTAATCCCACGAAAGGTTTCCGTAAGATCAAGGTACAATCAAATCTTTCTTCCTTGTTTATTATTTAATTCAAAGAAACAATAACAAGATAGCTTCTGAGAAATTATTAATTCTCTCATTTTTACTGGATTTTATAAAGTAAAATTTACTACTAACTTATTTAATAATTTTTTTTGTATTTATTTATTTAATGAAATTTACAACTGTATAAACAATACAACTAGTAAAAATACACAAATTAGAAATAATGACATGAACAGACTAGAAGAGATACTGCCCAGTGGTAGCACTCCCTATTTAATTCTTGGTGAGAAGATGACGTGGCCATCTTCTTTTCAGACGCCTTGGGGGTATTATCAGGAATCGAGGAAGAAGCAAGGCTGGAAACAAGTGGATTCGAATGGGACTGGAGTTTATCATGAAAGAATAGGTATCTGGCTCGGGCTAAACCAGCGGTATTTTTAATAATTAAAATATGTATGTGTGTATTCTTTAGTATCATACCAGACTGGAACGACAAGAAACCGCTCGACATTTCCGAATATTTCATTACTTACTAGACAAACGCTCTAATCTTCCAATTAATTCCAAAATACTCATATACATGACTATAATAAGGCCTGTTTGGACTTACGGAGTTGAGCTATGGGGCTCCACTAAACCATCGAATTCCTCTCGTATCCAATCCTTACAATCCAAAATCCTTCGTAAAATCCTCGATGCTCTCTACTTTGTTACAAATAAAACCATCCATAATGACCCTAATGTTTCTTATATTTCAGATCTGGCCCAATCCAGATACCTATCCTTCCATTATAAACTTCAGAATCATCCCAAACCTCTCGTTTCTAACCTTCCTCTTCAATTCCTAATAACCCTGCTAGGCGTCTGAAAAGAAGAGGGCCCCGTGATCTCCTAATTTAGACATATCATTAGAGTGCTACCATTGGGTAGTTTCTCAACAAGTGTTTTCAGGTCATTATATCCATATTTTGAAATTTACTAAATGTATTTCTTTAATATAGCTGTAAATATCATTAAGAAATAAAAAATAAAAAATCTTTAGTGATCTTAGGGGACCCTTTCGTAAGATCAATCTTGATGATGGCCTGAAATTTAGGGCTAAACGTCGGCAAAAATAAATATAATTTATTTATTTTTACTTTTTGTTTTTGACTGAACATCCTAACCTAAATATTTAAGGTAGGTATGTATATAGGTTTGTTATGAGCGTAACCTTGTTATGTTACAGAAACGTTTTTGCTAAAATTGAGTTACCATAATACCATACCACTTTTAGATCTGTGTCTGTGTAGGTGAACAGCTTATCTCAAAAACAAAAAGGCCTTCACCCGTAAAATTACGTATTTAAGGTAGGCAAACGCCTGAGGTTTTACAGCAACTTTTTCTTCAAAACCGACTAACCGATAAGAGACCTTTGAATTATCGATTATACATAATTTTACAATTTCCTCAAAAACGGCTGTATCAATAATTCTAATTATAAAATATATAATTCTAATTTTATTTTAGCCGCTGAAACGTCCTCTTTAAATGGGTTTATCAATGACAAACTTCCACTTGAAATAAGTTTTATCTAGTTTACTGTGAAGCAATTGTTAACTACTTAAATTAAATATTTTTTTTAGTTATGGCTTCCTATTCAACAAAATACGTGACTAACTTAAAAAAACTTAAATTTCCTAATTTTCTGCGGAAAATTTGCTATCCTGTCCCTCTCCCTGTCTTTCATGCCTGTATTATAAAGTTCAAGGATCATTAAGAAAGTTCACAATCGACTATTTTCCAATTTTGGTATGTCTTTGGCTAAGGAATTGCCCCCAATCTACCGACTATGTTCAAAACGCTGACTAAACTCTTGCATAATCTGTTTTATTTAGCTTCAGTTTCCTGTAACAGTTCTTTAGGCCAGTTGATTTCCCATTTAGAAGAGGAATGATCCCTGGATTCCCATCTATTGACTAAATATTTATAAAGGTGGGTAGTATTTCAAATACATTTACAATGTTTCACCATATTTGGTATTATCAGACGGTTGATTTTTTTTTTTTTTTTATGTTGAATATATTCTAAGAGACGGCCCAAACAGTTTTATATAACTACTTAAAAGCGGTATCCACTCCAGGATTTAATTAGAAATTTTAGCTATAATTTAGACTGTTATTCGAAATTTTTGTATATTTTTCTGGTGGAACAAAATTTATAAATTTCACGTTGGCAAAGTCGGTTCTTTAAAATTTTATATTTGCTATGCTAAAAAAAATAATTATAGACACTTATCTACTATTCAATACAATAATCCGTTTCTAATGAAACAGTTGGAAATAAACAATTAAATGTTTAAAAAATGAAATATAATTGAAATAAAGTAGAAGTAAATTTACAATAATGCTTTACAAAATATTATATTTAATTCATCCCCAAAATAATATACAAAAGACTATTGTGCTGAGTACTTTTAAAGGTCGAGTTGATTTTTATTATGATTATTACAACTCCCATTCTTTACAATACACTTAACTACTTTTCTGAAGTACATTTTTATTATTATTTTCTTTTGTAGGAAAAACTTTCCATGTTCAACGACCCGTTGCTTTCATTTCTTTTTTGTATTTTTTCATTGTTTTTATTTTAGTTCACTTCTGTATTTTCTTCGAGTTACTTAATTCCGTAAATACTCTCGGCAAAAAAAAAGTCGATAACCTTAATGGAAACGGGGCCTTATTAAGAAGTCAAATCGTGAATAATTAAGGAAGAATAAAATCTTTCTTCTTTTTTTTCCCCTCCTTGTTTATTATTTAATTCAGAGAAACAATGACAAGAAAGCTTCTGATAAATTATCCATTTTCTAATTTTTAACTGGATTTTATAAACTCAATTTTATTACTAATTTATTTAATCATTAAAATATATGTGTTTGTGTACTCTTTAGTGATCTTAAAATTTAAATATTTTCATGTATATAATTATTTTTCTTTTTATATCTTTACAATATAATATAATCATTAAAACCAATCATTGTTTTCTATAACACGGCATTTCAATGAATTACTCTCTAGACTTCCAACCATGGTCCTTCAAGTTTATTTTCAATGTCGTAAGGATTGTTGGATAGGAATTGTTTTCGGTTTTCGTTGAATCTGAACATCTTTTTTAATGTAAGTAATGGTCTAACAGCAGTGGTCTGCTTTAAGGGGATTTAGTGCCTGAAGTACGTGTATATTAATTTACGTGGTTAATTTCAGATTCACTCGAATTTTTGCATCTGAGCTAGACTGTTTACTTACACACTAAAACAGACTCACACACCTTTAGTAAGACTTGGGTATTTGGACTCGATCTGGAAAATTAGATTTCCGTGAATTATATAGTTAGGAGAGTATTGCAATAGTAAAATATTTCGAATCCGAGTTTTCAACGATAATATATTTTTACAGGTTTACTTAAGTCAAAATAGCCAAGCCTTACAAAAGTCTGAGTGTATAAATAAGAGATAACTCTTTCTGTATGTAAGTTTGCTAATTTAAATAGTCTAGCTCAAAAGCGCAAAGTGTGAAACTGAAATAGGCAAACGCCTTAAATTTTACAGCAACCTTTTCATCAAAATTGACTAACCGGGGATGGACCTTATTAGAAATAAAATACCACGGATAATACACATTTTTACAACTTTCCCGGAAAAGGCTGCAACGATTACGATTGTTATCATTTAAAAATTTAAATTTAAATTCAATAGCGTTAAATATTTTTAGAGTTTTAATCAAAATAATAGGGAGTGGGGTAGCTCAGTGGTAGGGCACTGAGCTTCCAATGCAAAGGTCCCAGATTCGAACCCCGGCTCATGGCAGAAAATTTATTTATCTGTTTCATTGGCCGTGGGGCGACCCTGGGTCGGGAGTCCCTCCTGGGGCACACCCAGCCTCTATAAAGTGGGTACCATTAATTAAATAATTAATTGAGGGGGACCGTGATCTCGGTCAAATCACCTCCTTGCACAACCGTTGACCTAGAAACAGTAACTTTCCCTAAATAGTACTGAACCCCAGACCCTTCATGGGTTGTAGTGGTACAGGATTTTTTTTTTTTTAATCAAAATAACATCATTGAAATAGTCTGACAGAACATTTTTCCCCTCTAAAATAACTTTAATTTTTTTTTATTATAGGCAGCGGTGTAGCAGTGGGTTAGGCACTGATATTAATTATTGATTCTGTTTTATCAGGCGTGGATCGACACTGGGTTCGGGAGACCATACTGTGGCACATACAGCCACTATAAATAGAATAGAATAGAATAGAAAAATAATTTTATTCTGGGACACAGTCCCTTGAGAATAACAAAATAGAACAAAATAAAAAGATTACATCTGGCCAAAGAAAGTGGGTACCAAACAAAATAAAGTGGGTACTCTTAATTAAATAATTAATTAAGAGCAAAAACTTGGTAGTTAAGCGTGATCGTGGCTTGGTCACCTCCCAACACAACCGTTTGGTCTAGAAACAGTGCTTCCTTACAAAGTACTTTATTTCTAGATTAGTAATTGGTAATTTTTTAACATTTGGCAATGTGGGGGTATAGTCTTTTATAAAAGACACCTCTATCGTTACATGATGTCTTTAACTATGGACTAAGTTTGTAAAATAAATGAAATATAATAAAATATATAGTTTTTATTTTTAAATAAATAAATATACAAATACTAGAGTCCTGCCTTTCCTTCTACGAGTGGGGAGAAAGGCTTGGATCAGAGATCTTGAGTAATGAATTGTGTAAGTAGTTATTTTAATTAGTTTATTTTTGTTTATATACATTTAATTTTATTATTTTGCTGTTTATTCATTTTTATTTATAGCGAATATTGTGAATGATCTACTCTTTATTACTATTACTACTGTCCTTTAATATGACAAATTGTAATATATCCCCATAAAGAATTTTCGAATAAAAAAAAAAAATTAATGTAATATTTTTAAGGTTTATTATTTTATTTATTTATTTTTTTTTTTTTTTTTTTTTTTATTTTTATATAATTTCTACTGAAGTGGTACGGTAGAGGGAAGTTACCTTAAGCATTGCCCCAGATTTTTCAGCTTCCATACAATCGTATATTCCAATAATATAAATCAATATAAGAAAAATATTTGCAGGCGAAGATATTTTACATTTCATTAATAGGTTTTTTCAGAATGACATAACTGAACCCTATTTTAGTCTTTAGTTTCACAATGGTTTTGTGTTGTTCGTGGAGGAGAGTATTTGTTTATTTTTAATTACTGATGATGGATCTGAAATAGAATTGTGAAGTTATTTATTTTCGTAGTAGTTCACTCATTCACCATTCTCTAATTAACAACAATCAAATGGCCATTCGTCGACATTTAATTGGTTAATGGTGAACCATGATATGGACAACCATAGATACACCATTTGAAATTATCATTTTATAATTCAAGCGTTAACTGATATTATATTGGTTATTTTAATTATTGAACAAATTATTTCTTGAATAAATTAAACATTAGCTATAAGTATAGTGCACAGCGTTATGTTATAAATAATGTGTTTACTTAATGAGCCTTTCAGTTGATTCCAATTTCAATATTTTTCAGTTATATATAATTATAATAATATTTCTCTCTCTCTCTCTCTCTCTCTCTCTCTCTCTCTATATATATATATATATATATATATATATATATATATATATATATATAAATAATATTAGCAATTATTAATACTTCTAATATACTTTTGGAAAAGATATTTTTTAATATTTCATTGCTTTGTCAGGCAGCAAAATTTCCTAACATCACACGCATCCAACGCTCAGTCCAAAGTCCTCCGAACAAAAGTCCTCCATTCTATGTAACCAACAAAACCGTACATAGTGCATACACCCTACATGCCCTTAATATCCCATTTTTCCTAGCCTTATCTCTGAAAATTTTTCTAAATACCATCAGAACCTTAAAATCATCCAAATTCCCTTGCACAATACCTATGGGTGTATCTGGCTAAAGCGCTCTCGCTCAATCTCCACTGGCTTAAGCACCAGTGGGGCGGTTGAGAGAGAGTAGCGCAGGGATCTCTAATACTGAAAACATAGTATGTCCCTTAAACCAAAGGAAATATTTAAAAGAGTAAAAGTTGACCTCAAGAGCTAGTATATATATCGAGGAAATGTATTTTTTTTTTTTTTTTTTTTATGTGTCACGTTTCTCGACAAATAGGAAACGACAATTAAAAACATATTTAATTTAAATAATTGACAACTGCTTCACAGTAAACTAGACAAAATTTACTTCAATTAGAAGTAGAGTTTGTTGTTGTTAAAACCACTTGAAGAGAACTTTTGAGCGGATAAACTATGCTAAGTTCTATTATAAAAAAAAAAGAAATCATGAATTATTCGAGATTTTGTTTTATCATCCTTCAAATATACAACTGATACCTCACTTTTAGAAAAACTTTCTTGTTTATTAAGCCCTAAGTCCATATTTATTCAGTTGAGTTTCATGACGGAATAAGTCGAGATTCAACTTGTGTGAAGTTGTCAAGTTATGAAAAAAAAAATGATGTTATTTTATATATTGCCACTTAAACATTAAAGAAGCCATTTGATCGGATAAACTATGTTAAATTTTGTTAAAAAAAAAAAAATGAATTATTCTTGAATTTCTTTATCACCCTCAAACTATTCTACATATACTCCACTTATAAAAAACTTCGTTATTTAATCAACTTTAAATTATTAAACCATATTAGTTAGGTCAGAGTTATTAGGAAATAAATTTAAATTCACCACAAGTTATGTAAAAAAAAGTATGTAATGTGATATCCTGTAGCCTAAAAGTACCCAAGTTTTCAACAAAAATAACTACAATAAATTATTGTAAAGCCTTAATTTACTTTTTTTCTAATAAAAAAAATTAATAGTAAATGTAGTATAATATTTTAAATATAGCATGTTGAAATTAATAATTTTCCTAATATTTATTATCTAAAGTGATTATGAAACTGTGTCTTTCTCTTTTTTTACCCAGATTTCTATTATAAAAATGTATCCTTATTAAGTGACCAACTACATTTTTTTAATGCTATTATTTACAGTTTTATGAAAATAATTCTAGCAATCAGCACGTAAATTTTATACTTTTATGGGAAAATTGGAACATTTATTACAGTTCTTGAGATAAGTTATCACCCCTTAAAATATTTTCCTTTACTTAGGAGATACCCTGTATATGAGGTTTATATATTTTTCTAACAAGAAATATTATTAAAAGCAAGGCTTTAAACAAAAAAGAAACTGTTATTTTCAAAAAATGTATTCAATAAAATCAAATTTTACGGAGATCTGGTTGATCAATTGCATTAATCTTTAAATGCAATTAATCATATTAAATAAATCAATCTTTAAATAAAAATCAATCATTTATCATTTCTCGATTTAAAAATGAGATTAATTAAAAAAATTACATATATACTGGGTCAGCAGATATTCAGTGGGGAGAGAGATAAAAAATACTAACACTATTTTTGTAAACAAAACTATTTACTGGCTAGAAGTGAATCAGAAAAACAAACAGGGGGGGGGGGATAACCCTATTTTAAGGTTCTCTATTTTGCTTCTACTCCCCCCAGCAGCGACCGCCGTCCCATCCTCCCAACCTTTAATGCTTGTGTTTTTCGCTGAAACTGCTCACCGTAGCGGCTATCTCTTCCAACATTAAGCACTGTACTAAGTTATTATATTTCTATAAAAAAGTTAAACGAAAATGTAATACTTATCGGAAGGAGAGCAATGCATATGATAGCGGATTTCTTTTCTTTTTTTTTTAATATTATTTAATTAATATGCGTCATTTTTGTTGCTTTTTAAGTTGAATAATGTGGTTAGGTTATGTCTCTTTTATAAAATGTTAACCATTGTCTGCAGATTAATGCCCATCTTCTACGAAGTGATTGTTTCTTGTAATATTTTGAATAGAGGATATTAGCCTCGTGATAGTGAATCACTGATTTTGAATATATTACTTATTATTAGAAATATAATTTCAGCTACATATATATATATATTTGAGAAAAATACTTAGTTCCCAGTACTCAAAGTAGCATATGCCCATCTCTGCTATTGTGGTATTCATTGTTCTGTAGAGGATACTTCCAAACGGAACGTTCCGAGCTACATGCTCAACCGTTCTTAACCTCCTTGCCTTTCATATCATGAGATATTGACTGACCAGTTTCTGTAAGCAGCTTGGTCTTTCTCCTCCATGCGTATTCTGACCCCTGATCGCTCTGGTTATGATGCGGAGAATTTCTCTCTCAAATATTTAAATATTTCTTTCAAGGGTGCTGATTACTGTCTCGCAGCAGAACTGTCTTTATCATATTTTTTCAAATGACAAATTATGAAGCCGTAAATCTTTCTGTTGAAAGTCAATCAAGTACTTAAATTTCAATAAAGCTCATCGAGATATATCAGAACGTAGAGCGAAATAGTTTATTCGGAGGAACAGAGTGACCACAGAAATATCACCCTGTCTAAGACAAAAAATTGTAATTAATCGATTATCTTCCATTCTAAAGAATAATAATTTATTAAAAGTTATTCATTCAGTGTTAGCAGTAGTAAGAATATTTTAAACACCCGTTTTTATTTTCCTCAATAGTTATTTTGGCAGTGGAAAATCCCCCTCTTCCGTCTCCATGGATCTGCCAATATCTGGACATGAAATGAAATTCGCGTTAGGGAGTGATATTTTTTTGCCATAGAAAAAAAGAGTTTTTGGCAGAGGATATTTAGATGTCCATAAAATCAGTAGAATATATTTACTTTTGAAATTAAAAATCTTAAGAAACCATATTGCCCAATTTCCTCTGGAACATAATTCATCTTAAACTCAAAATTAAAAAAAAAAAAAGTAGTTATTTATATAAAACTGCTTTAGTTATTTGGTTTGCACAACACTAATGATAGAATCCTGGACTGGAACAAAATCTTGATTTCCTTTTCGGTTTCCCTCGATGGGGGAAGGAGAGTGGATTGCACCAGATTACGTACTTCCTAATCCTCAGACAGAAATATTACTGAGTTGAATCAACTAATTTTTGTGTGTTCTGTTTTTGCAGTACATCGAAGATGACTATGGATCGCTGGACTATCAGTTTAATTTTACTGAACGCTTTTATATCTAGTTCTCAAGAGAATGAAATTAATACTGTTACAGAGGGCTACGACCAAGGAAAGTAAGTTGAATACATTAAATATTTTAAAAAGTTGAACTGAGATGAAAGGTTAAAACAAACATAAATTTCAAATTCAAATATATACATTAATATTAAAATAATACAGGTAAAATTGAACGTGAGGTTAAAATTAAATGTTAGGTTATAGTTTAGAAAAATTCCAAACCACAGAGCCTTATGTGTCAAAAATGCAGGCAAAGTAAAAAATCGTCAACGTTTCGCCAAACCAGGCATCATCGGGACAGAAAATAACAGCTAATCGACCATCACTCCATGAAATCCAATCGAATACTCTCATCGCAAGAGTGGCGAAACGTTGACAGGTTTTGTCTTTGCCAGGATTATGGAGACATAAGGCTGTGTGGTTTGGAATTTTTCTAAACTATAACTTAACATTTAATTCTGTCTCTTGTTAATTTGTTACTAATTTACAATAGTGAAATTATATAATCATATAATTTAATTAATTTTTATCTATATTAATTAACAAAAAAGTTGTTTATAAAAAATAATTTAATAAAACAAAATAATTATATTGGGTGTCTAAATAAAACCTAATGAATTTTAACCCGTCATTGATCGCTAGATCAATCTTGCCATGGAAGATCGCACACTTTTTCTCAAATCGCTTATAGTCCGTGGGCCAGACCTTTGCCTTGTTTAGTCAAAGGCAATAAATAGAAGAAGAGCTATTTCCCTTTAGACCTCTCTATAACCTGCTTCAAGGTGAAGATGTTCCCAATGTGCAACTTAGATATCAATCGAAAATAAAGAGGTTTTCACCGTAATATACCTCGTTTACTTCGTTCAGACCTGCTGACTTACCAATTCCTTCGAGCAAATCTTTCTTGCTGATAAAATGGTCTTCACTCTAATAAATCTGCATTGTCTCCTTTTAGCAGCATCTTGGAATATTCTGTTTGTTCATCTGTCTACTATATATTCGTTTTTTCATATAGTGAATGCTGAACCTTGTTTTCTTATCCGAGATTTTGCACTTCCTTTCTCGTTCGCTTAATGTATTTTTCCAATTTTGGGGTTTAATTTCGCGTTTTACCTCATTTCGAGACTAATACTATATACTACTGATGCTAACAATCCGTTTCGGTTACCTAGAAGAACTTATACCTTCGCCCTTTTCATCTTTCTTTGTGCAGAGAGAATAATGCACTCAATATTAAAATTTCTTATTTTTATGATATGGTCCAACTTCTGAAAAAAAAAATAAAGGAAATAAAAAATAAGTTTTTTTGTTAGTGATATATGAGTTTTACTTACCAACTTGGCAACTATTCATTAAGCGTAGGTCAAATCAGGTATATATTATGTTGGTTTATAAAACAGGTATTAATATGACTCATTTCCGGGAATGTATATATAATTTAAATTACCTCTAAGAATCAGTAAATATACAACATAAAGCAATAAATTGCAAACGTTAAATAAAAAATTCAAGATAATCAGTGAAGTATTTTGAATTATGTTTTATTATTATAATTATATAATTTTTACAATAAAGGCCTCGCTTAGTGTAATTTTCCAATTTTGGGGTTTAATTTCGCGTTTTACCTCATTTCGAGACTAATACTATATACTACTGATGCTAACAATCCGTTTCGGTTACCTAGAAGAACTTATACCTTCGCCCTTTTCATCTTTCTTTGTGCAGAGAGAATAATGCACTCAATATTAAAATTTCTTATTTTTATGATATGGTCCAACTTCTGAAAAAAAAAATAAAGGAAATAAAAAATAAGTTTTTTTGTTAGTGATATATGAGTTTTACTTACCAACTTGGCAACTATTCATTAAGCGTAGGTCAAATCAGGTATATATTATTTTGGTTTATAAAACAGGTATTAATATGACTCATTTCCGGGAATGTATATATAATTTAAATTACCTCTAAGAATCAGTAAATATACAACATAAAGCAATAAATTGCAAACGTTAAATAAAAAATTCAAGATAATCAGTGAAGTATTTTGAATTATGTTTTATTATTATAATTATATAATTTTTACAATAAAGGCCTCGCTTAGTGTAATTTTCCAATTTTGGGGTTTAATTTCGCGTTTTACCTCATTTCGAGACTAATACTATATACTACTGATGCTAACAATCCGTTTCGGTTACCTAGAAGAACTTATACCTTCGCCCTTTTCATCTTTCTTTGTGCAGAGAGAATAATGCACTCAATATTAAAATTTCTTATTTTTATGATATGGTCCAACTTCTGAAAAAAAAAATAAAGGAAATAAAAAATAAGTTTTTTTGTTAGTGATATATGAGTTTTACTTACCAACTTGGCAACTATTCATTAAGCGTAGGTCAAATCAGGTATATATTATTTTGGTTTATAAAACAGGTATTAATATGACTCATTTCCGGGAATGTATATATAATTTAAATTACCTCTAAGAATCAGTAAATATACAACATAAAGCAATAAATTGCAAACGTTAAATAAAAAATTCAAGATAATCAGTGAAGTATTTTGAATTATGTTTTATTATTATAATTATATAATTTTTACAATAAAGGCCTCGCTTAGTGTAATTTTCCAATTTTGGGGTTTAATTTCGCGTTTTACCTCATTTCGAGACTAATACTATATACTACTGATGCTAACAATCCGTTTCGGTTACCTAGAAGAACTTATACCTTCGCCTTTTTCATCTTTCTTTGTGCAGAGAGAATAATGCACTCAATATTAAAATTTCTTATTTTTATGATATGGTCCAACTTCTGAAAAAAAAAATAAAGGAAATAAAAAATAAGTTTTTTTGTTAGTGATATATGAGTTTTACTTACCAACTTGGCAACTATTCATTAAGCGTAGGTCAAATCAGGTATATATTATTTTGGTTTATAAAACAGGTATTAATATGACTCATTTCCGGGAATGTATATATAATTTAAATTACCTCTAAGAATCAGTAAATATACAACATAAAGCAATAAATTGCAAACGTTAAATAAAAAATTCAAGATAATCAGTGAAGTATTTTGAATTATGTTTTATTATTATAATTATATAATTTTTACAATAAAGGCCTCGCTTAGTGTAATTTTCCAATTTTGGGGTTTAATTTCGCGTTTTACCTCATTTCGAGACTAATACTATATACTACTGATGCTAACAATCCGTTTCGGTTACCTAGAAGAACTTATACCTTCGCCCTTTTCATCTTTCTTTGTGCAGAGAGAATAATGCACTCAATATTAAAATTTCTTATTTTTATGATATGGTCCAACTTCTGAAAAAAAAAATAAAGGAAATAAAAAATAAGTTTTTTTGTTAGTGATATATGAGTTTTACTTACCAACTTGGCAACTATTCATTAAGCGTAGGTCAAATCAGGTATATATTATTTTGGTTTATAAAACAGGTATTAATATGACTCATTTCCGGGAATGTATATATAATTTAAATTACCTCTAAGAATCAGTAAATATACAACATAAAGCAATAAATTGCAAACGTTAAATAAAAAATTCAAGATAATCAGTGAAGTATTTTGAATTATGTTTTATTATTATAATTATATAATTTTTACAATAAAGGCCTCGCTTAGTGTAATTTTCCAATTTTGGGGTTTAATTTCGCGTTTTACCTCATTTCGAGACTAATACTATATACTACTGATGCTAACAATCCGTTTCGGTTACCTAGAAGAACTTATACCTTCGCCCTTTTCATCTTTCTTTGTGCAGAGAGAATAATGCACTCAATATTAAAATTTCTTATTTTTATGATATGGTCCAACTTCTGAAAAAAAAAATAAAGGAAATAAAAAATAAGTTTTTTTGTTAGTGATATATGAGTTTTACTTACCAACTTGGCAACTATTCATTAAGCGTAGGTCAAATCAGGTATATATTATTTTGGTTTATAAAACAGGTATTAATATGACTCATTTCCGGGAATGTATATATAATTTAAATTACCTCTAAGAATCAGTAAATATACAACATAAAGCAATAAATTGCAAACGTTAAATAAAAAATTCAAGATAATCAGTGAAGTATTTTGAATTATGTTTTATTATTATAATTATATAATTTTTACAATAAAGGCCTCGCTTAATGTATTTTTCCAATTTTGGGGTTTAATTTCGCGTTTTACCTCATTTCGAGACTAATACTATATACTACTGATGCTAACAATCCGTTTCGGTTACCTAGAAGAACTTATACCTTCGCCCTTTTCATCTTTCTTTGTGCAGAGAGAATAATGCACTCAATATTAAAATTTCTTATTTTTATGATATGGTCCAACTTCTGAAAAAAAAAATAAAGGAAATAAAAAATAAGTTTTTTTGTTAGTGATATATGAGTTTTACTTACCAACTTGGCAACTATTCATTATGCGTAGTTCAAATAAGGTATATATTATTTTGGTTTATAAAACAGGTATTAATATGACTCGTTTCCGGGAATGTATATATAATTTAAATTTTTTTAAAAACACTTTATTCTGAAATATTACAATTTGTCACAGTTAAGGACACTTATAATAGAGTTCAGAGATTGCATTCATACCGTATATACAAAAATATAAATAAATAAAGTAATAACAAAAGAATAAGAAGAAAGAACAAAAGAGTAAAGAAAAAAAAAATACATATATATATATATATATATATATATATATATACATATATATATAGATAGATAGATAGATAGATAGAAAGTAAACTTTATTCTGGGACAAGGTCCCTTATGAATAACAGATATGAACAAAAAATTAAAACTACATCTGGCCAAAAATTACATTAATCAATATTAAAGAATATATACAGTATCTTCAGTGAAATTAAATTAAAACAAGTAAAAATAAAATAAAATTTTGAGAAAAAACGAAATAAAAAAAAACAACATTATTTAAATGAAGATAAAAATAAAATAAAATAAGCATGGGTTGATTTTTAAAATTAAGACAATAAATTTTATCAATCATTCACCTCAGTCAAAATCTGTTTCACAATATTTATTTT